ATTACATTTTCCTAAATCGTTTTTATGTCTTCATTTTGGTTTGCATAAATACAATAGAACTTTCAATTTTATGTAAGAAATTTTTTTAGATAAATAATCATTTATTAAAATGAATATTTTTGAAAGATGCAAAGTGAATTCTTTTACGGTAAGTATTACATTGCCATAAGACAAACAAAACAGCTTTCGTGTATAAGAGAAAATAGATTAAACTCTAGTTAATATTTAAATAAAATAATTCAAACAAACCTAAGAGTTCCATTGGTTGTTGATTTGCTGTTACTTGTTGATGATGTTGATTGTCTTCTATAATTTCCTTCAGATTTATCACTACTTGTTGATGTTGTTCTTGGTTTTTGTTGTTCAAAGTGTATTGGAGATAATGTGCGACTTACTGGAATAATTCCTGGAAAAACAAGATTAAATGTTGATGTATCACTTAATGTAAACTGTGATGAAAGAAACAATTGTGGAATGTTAATAACTGAATTTGTTTTTTGTGAAACATTTGAATCATTAGATGAATGTTGTCGTAAACGTGGTCGACCATATTTTTCACTTTTACGTAGACTATTAAAATATGTTTCAAAATCATTAAGACTATAATCACCAAGACGTGTCAATGGATCAGGCAAACGATCAATAAATGAATTACCTTTAAATTAAATGATTGTGATTTTTAATGAATTTAAATAAACAAGAGACAAATAAAACTAACCCCATGTTTTAGTAAAAAATGTTGAAATTTCTGCACGCGTTTTTTTTGGATCATTTAAAACACAAGCTAAATTTGATTGAAAAACGGTGGGAGTCGTGGATGTTGATGTTGTTGTTGTAGGATCCCCATCTGCTAGTTTTTTTCGATTATTTAATGAAGATGCCAATAAATGGCTCATTGTTTAAGTAACCATGACATTTATTAAGATATAAGAGAAACAATCTAAAGTACAATATACAATGACTAATTAATATTTATTTATTCAAAATTTTCTTGTTTTTTCTTTTATAAAAAGAAACAAAACAAAACCAATATTTGATTTTTCTATCTGAATTATTTCCATATTTTAATTATTATTGTTATTATTATTATTATTGGTGTTGTTGTTGTTATTATTGTTATTATTATTTTGTTGTCCAATTGTTCCTTGAATTTGTTGTTCATTTGGTTGTGATGATGGACGCGATGATTCATTAGGAATTATTTTAGGTTTTGGAATTTTCGATAAAAGATCTTTGATTTGTTTTCCATCATTTGGTGGATCAGCATCATATGTTGTCATTAATTCATAATATTTAAGTAAAAGTTTAACAACTTCATAAATTCTTTCAACATCAATTTGTGCATCAATCATATATTGTTTAAGTATTGCCATTTTATCACGATATGTTGCAGCAAGTAAAAGACAAGCAAGTGCTATTTCATATGGTGGATATAAAAGTGGAGCATCTGTTTTTAATGAATCATTTATAATACGCCATGCTGTTTCAAATAATGGTTGATCAATTTGAAATTCTCTTGTATACATATCTAATGAACGATATGGATGATAGATTATTAAACAACAATCCATTATTTCAAGTAAATAAAATTCACATTCAAGAATATGTTTTATTTGATATGGATATTCTCCAGGACCGCCTACAAATAAAAGAAAATTTTACATCAACTATTTAATCATATTTCATAAAAAATTTCGCATCTCCATTTCCTTTTGAATTAAATTAAAATAAAACTCCGGGAAAATTCGTAGACAGTTTTTATTCAACGCTATCTCATTGACTTTCAATGAATGCAATCATTTTATTGCTTTTTCGACTTCAGTAAATCGATAAGCAATGATTGAATTTGGTAATAAACAGCAAAGAAAAGATATTCATTGACTATTCAAATGTATTTTGTTACCTAATTATTATGGTTTCTGCTCAAATCAGTTTCCTATAATAAATGCTAATATTGATCATCATTTCTTGAGAATATTAAATTCAATAGTTAACCTCATCCTGATTATAACAATTCTTATCTATAATTTGATTGGAACATCGAATACAGCGATTACAATTTTTAAGAGCAAAAATATGATGTTTATCGTTGTGTATTGATTTGAATTTCTCAATAAATGTGTATCCAAAACAGAATTTAATACGACGAAGTCATTTCAGAAGAAACAATCAAAGATAAGCCAATTCAAATAAATACTTCCTCTTATGATTCTTCTTTTTCATGTTTTCGTCTTCATTATCTTCTTACTGTTTCTGTTTCGCTCTTTTCCCTATATGCCAATGAACTTTGATAAAATCAATAGAAACACTTTAAATTCAGCCAGGTCTAGACAAAAGATCCAACGAATTTCAGCTCCTTCTCTCTTATGACTTCAATTCGCCACTGGTGTGAGTTCTAACTCTGCTTCTGTGAATGACAAAAAAGTCAACACCAAAGTATTCTTGTAGCTATAAATAAATATTTATTCGAAAAATAGAACTTAATCATTTATTTTTTCTTTTGATATCTTTATTGAATAATTGATTAAATCATTTGTAGATTTAGGTGTATATAACCTTGTATGTGTATACTCAACTATTTGTGCTCTATTTCAATTTCGTTTACTCTTCAGTTTTCATTTCATCCAGAACAAACAAAAAACAGAAATCTATTCCATGTATGCAATACAAAGTAGCAAATTTAGATATAGTCAATGTACAAAGTTACAGAATTTTTATCTTTTTTATAAAATATATTATAGAAGTTAATTTTCTCAAAATATCTGCACAAACTATGCTGAAAGTAATATACTATATAATTAATAAATAGAAAAAAAAGATTTCTTTTTTATTTGTTTTTTAAATCTTACTTAATAAATGTGCATATTTTTTATAAGTTGTTGCAGCTGCATTACAAACTCGTTGATGATTTAGTGTCGAAAATTCTTCAACTTTAGCAGCAAGAAATAAACAAGTTGGGCAAAGAAGCCATGGATCAATACTTTTTAATGGATATCTTGCATAAAATCTTTTTAAATAAATAATTGCTGTTGCTATAACTTGTTGACGAACTTTGTATTGTTCACCTATATGTTGAATTATATTTGAATAAAATATAAGAATTTTTGAATAATCATCTTCTGTTGTTAACGAGGCATTATTATTTGTAGACCATGATGATATATCACGTAGGCGAAATGACATCAATTCTTGACGATCAAATAACCATTGTTCAAATTGAGAACTTTTCCAATAAGATGCAGCCATTACTATCTCAAATAAAATATTCTTTCTTTTTGTCAATATGTATGTATTTATGTATCACAAACCAGAGTACAACTTCAGAAGAACGACACTCCACTTTGTGTAACATCTATAGAACAGGAAAAAAATCTATTAGCGTATACATATAACCACTACCTTATAAAAATAGAATGTGAGATATAGATGTCACATGAGAACAGTTTATATTGATGTTGCAGCAATCTCATAAGAAGGAGGTAATCCCACCAAAGCTAATTGAATCTATTAATTATGAGAATATTGAAACAATTTTATAAAATTCTATGATAAACGAAAATGAACAGAAATACAGACGAAAAACATGCTTTGGGAATACATAATCAGAAACATCTCTCAACAGTGATAATAAAAAAAGATAAGTTCTTTGACAAGAAGTCTAATGATTTCTGTTGAATGGAGAAAATTCATCAGTATTTAATTGCAAATTAAAGTAAAATACTACGAATATGAATATTAAAATGGAAAACCTTGATAATTTGCATACCAGAAAAATTCATGAGTTAACCATGACAAAGGATATTTTTATAGATACAACGATAAATTCTCATGAATGCAGACCTTACCGATCTTTAGGAAATTATGTTAAGTATACTCATTTTGTAGTCAATAATACCATCAGCTTTGCCACACCAACAAATGGCATTCTTAATCAGAATATAAAAACACTTGGATACAAGTCAAGAGAAAACAACAAAAGCAATGTAGAATACGTCAAACTATATTACCAACTTATTTAGAGAATTTCATATTTTTTTTCAATAAAATTTTCATATGATATCTACACTTATGGGCAATAGTCTTCCTCCTCCAACATTCTTTTCTTATGGAATTTCTTTGATATCAGTTGTATGCTACTTACAAGGATGGCTTGAGTACTTCATTTTAGTATAGTATATGATTGATAGCAATTTGCTTCAATGCACAATATATGTCTTTCAATATAATAGAGCAACAATACAAGTGAGTTGGTTGAAAAAAATTTTCACGAATGGATTACCTCTTTTCTTTGCTGTATCTGCTAAGTGTTTTACTGGTTTGAATAATTAAACTCTTTCCATTGTGCGCTCAAAGCTCTCTCAAGAATACGGTATTGTCAATAACTACAAATGCGGATATAAAGTAAAACTAATAAAACATTCATCAACTATCGAAAAGGAGATAACCCAACCATTAAGTATTCAATCCACCAACTTACATGTAATATTGCTCGATTGTATTCAATGACGTACATTCTTCATTGAAGGCGGCCGTAATCAATCCTAAACAATACTAAATTCGTATTGAAGACATTCTTATAACTAACATTCACTAGCAACTGATGAAGCTCGATATGAAAAAAAACGAGAGAAATAGGAGAACGGTAGACTTTGCCTACGAGTGTAAATAAAAATGATTTTTGTTTTGCAACTGTAGCGAAAATGTTAGTTTTATAGATGAATTTTCCCCATTCAACAGAAATTAATAGACCTCTTGCTAAAAAATCAATGTTTTTTATTTTTATTGTTGAAGGATTATTTCGAGTCATATTACCGAAACATGTTTTCTCTGTATTTCGGTTCATTATTGTTCATCATAGAGGTATATCAATTTGTTTAAATATTCTCTCAATTAATAGATTCGTCTCCTTGTTCTGTATATGCTAAACAAAGGATGACATCGTTCTTCTGCGGTTGTATCAAAATCAGATTTAATACAAAAATATAAACAAAAAAAAATCATTATTTATATCCTTTGTCAGCAAGTTCTTGTCGAACCCGAAATAAATAGGTCGGATCTGGATAAGCAAAACTAAAAATATTAAGAGTTTTAAAGAAAATGTGAAGATGAACATTGTTTTTCTTACCGTTCAGGTCCACCGTGAATACTTGTTTTATGATGAATATCATTCCATGTAATAACGTTATCTTGACCACTGGTTGTTGATCTTCCAATAGTAAATATATGTTGATCGTCAAATGCTTTTCGTAATAAACGCAATACTTCTTTTCCTTCTTCATTATTTGGTAAATAAGCGTTACGTGTTGTTCCAGAGTAGGGTTTACCAGGATTTGGATTAAGAGGACCTTGAAGACCAGCTTTAAATGTATAAACTATTTCAATAGTTGGTTGATCAGATCCATAATTTTCATTTTCAAATCCAGGTAATGGTTTGTTTATGTATTTAACTATCATGCGACCATTAGGTGGTTGAGGACCTTAACAATGATAATAATCAATTTAACAGTTAGATCTTTATTTATTTATTTATTTATGATACCTTTACTTATACCATAGACATATCCACAACTTGGACAAGATTGTTTTCCATTAGATTGAAACCACTGATCAATACAGACTTTATGAAAAACATGACCACATACTTCAAGTTTATGATATGATGAGCCCAACTGTTCCAGACATATCATACAATCACCGATCTCTTCCTTTGTTGACGACTTAGTTTTATGCCCTTGTGACAGAACTGGACCTATTTAAAGATACAATAGAACACTTATTCTTCTGATTTCAATAAACGCAACCTATATAAGAATCTCTTTACTTAAAAAAAAAACAAGATTGACTCACCCATTCTACCTGTTTTTAATCGAAATATAAAATTTTTTTTTCGAATCTAACGGAAAAGAAAAACAAAACACTTCATGACTCATATCATCACAATGGTTCGAATGAAAAGGAAAAAAATAAAAAGAAAGGGATTATTTAGTGATCTCAAATATAATTCTGAAAAGGACTCACCTACGACATGTTGTTTGTTTTCAATGTCCATGATGAATGGATCAACTTTACTGAATGATGCATTACTGTTTATCAAAGACTTTTGGGCTTCTTCAAATTTCATTTCCCATATATGACATACGTAAAGAATACGTTGAGAGTTCGCCGAAAGATTACGATAAGACACATTGTTCCATGAGGGTAACTTGCGAAATTGACATAAATTACAACCTTCTGCATAGCATTGAGAACAATGTTGATGTTTTTGAGGACATTGGCGTGTTTTATCACTGGGATTCATTCCATTGCAACAGACTAAAATTGAATGTATTATAAAATTTGTCTATCAAAAATCTCAATTTTTTTCATTAAATATGGATTATTAAAATCAATCAGAATGAAAGATTTTAAACCATTTATTAATTATCATCTAGCAAAAATTTGTTCAGGCTGTTTTTCTATTCGTTGGTAAACAGTTTTTTTTGCTTGAATGTTTGGAATGATCTTCTCCTTATTAAGGATAAGATTAGATCTTCAATGAATTTTGATTTAGTATGTTTTTATGAAGAATAAAATAATATCTTCTATGCTTCAGACTTTTTTTATTTGTTCCAGCAATGGTATTGTTTTTTTCTTACCAGAACAGATTTTATTATCATGTATAAATTGTGCTCCATTTATATACCAGCACATTGGGCAATCCGATTGACATAGTTTATCGATAATAATACATTGTTTACAAACTCTATGTGTACAAAACTTTTTTAATCCGTCACGAGATGTTTGCTGAGAACACCATGCACAAGTTGAAGCAGAGAAAGAAGCAGCTGGATACATTAAACTTATCTAAAACATTGCAATGTATTCATAAAGATATATCGAACTCAATATCCAAAAGAAAAAAAAACCAAACAAAATATAAATTTATACAAAAATGTAAAAATTTAAATAATCTATCCCAGAGTTCATGAGAAAAGTGCAATTCAGTTATCTGCATTGATGTATTTAAAGATTCAAGATGTGTCCGTTTTGATTCTTCAACACAAAAAAAATTATTATTTGAACAGGAAACAAATTCAATGTTTAGTATGTTTTATAAACTCTCAGTAGAAATTATTTCTCATTATTCTATACAGATTATCATTAAATAAATCAAACTATCAGTATCAGAGTGTCGGTATGAGATATGGCATGCAGGATTATAGGCAACAGGATGCAAGAAATGCCTCTACACTTCATTTGTCCAAAAGGATAAATCGAGGGAACATGGACAAAAAGCGTTCTCATAAGACAAAAAACTCTTTTTCTGCTGATGTGCACGCCAATAGCTGTTAGGAAACTACCTTAGAAAACTTCATGCTATGCTACTGGCAGTGTCATTGTGGATGTGGGTGTCGAGTGTGGGCGTGAGTATGAATGCTAGCATTAGGAAGGTCGACACCCACATCCTTAAATATTGAACCTTTTAAATTGTATTACTGAGTTTTTTAGAGTATTTGCTAAGCTTAAATTAGATTTCTACTGAGTCAAACCTACAGAACGTGTAATAAAAAATGTACAGAGCATTCATTATAAAACACTAAACAATTAAATACGAGCCAATTAAAAACGGAAAAAGAATTCTATTTTACTTAGTCATTGTAAATTTGACAAACATACGTATAATATGAACAACAAGGTTATCGCTTGAACCAATGTTCAACGCAAGTTAAAGGAAAACGATGTTGATATCCATCAAGGATTTTCATGTGATAATTACATAGGAATCGAATATAATTCATAATCAATTTTAATATATTGTACACTTCCATATAACATCAAATTTTTTGGATTCGAGTTAAATGTTGACGATTCGATAACAGAAAAGAATTCTTTTTGAGTTTCTTTACGAAAGGAGTATGACATATATTTTACATAGTTTATTATTTTAAGCATTGGTATGACCTACCATTCCACTTAATAGTGAATACAATCAGAACACAATTTTTTTTTATTATTTTTTCCACAAAATCATACTAATACAAAGAATATAATTGTTGACATGCATGATTATTTAAATGACATAATAAACATAATCTGTCTTTCAATATTTTCAGATTGACTATGCGTTATTTTTGTTTGAAAATCTTTCAATTCTACACTATAAATAATCAACGTGGGAAAAAAAGAAAAGATAAATCTATTTTTTTGGTATTTCATGGAAGCACTAATAAGAATATTTGCTTCTCAATCAATCAATAATTAACACCATCTATCGCGTATTTTAGTATAAATGAACATATGAAAAAAAGAGAACAAGCAAATAATTGAAGAAAAAAAAAAAGAAAAAGAAAGTTCCTTTTTTCGCCTCCTGTATACGGGTGGAAAAAAATTCAGAAGCGAACAAGTTTCACATCGACAGTGATACTTTGTTCAGAAATACATTTGAGTTTGTTCAAGAAGAATTGGTTTTTCTAGTTCAAAGACTTGCTTCTCAAGAATCTATCCGAACCAGAGACTGAAACAAATAAGAAAATCTTTATGCGGATCCCATTCAACCAGTTTTCTATTTGTATTCATTCGATTCAACTTACTTTTTCAAAAACTCCAATAGACTCAGTTCGACTCACATTACTACAGAAAGACGTTTTTCTGAGTTTCGCACATGTTATCTACTAATGTACTTTCTCTCTAATGCTTCTCTCTGAGAAGACTATTTATTTTTCTATTTCCTTATTCTTAGTCACCTTTTGTATATTGGATCTATTCATATATATTCACAGATCATTGACTTTTTTTAACAAAAAGTTACGTACAACGTAGATGTTATGCAATCAAATTAATTACAACAGTTTTATATTAATGAACTCGAGAATGATAATATAGTTGGCGCTTGAAAGATTACAGTTTCAATCCGATGAGCAAAAACTAAAAGATGATAGTTAGTCGTCTATCTATTTTTTTCATAAAATCACATATAATCTGTAATTTGCTCGTTCTTATCAAACTGTGATGCCATATATTTCTACTACTTCTGTTTTGATAGTTTCATTTTCTTTTTTTTATGATTGGTTTCTAATCTTGAAAACAAATCAATTAAAGACTTGTTCATCTGATTCGATTTGATTTGGTTTCAGTTTTTGGTTATCACTCGAAGTTTGAGACAGTTCTAAAGAGGATTTCTATAAAGGTCAGCAAAACCTTCCCATTATATGATAAAAGTAGTCAAAACCAGGCAGAATATTTTCGTAGAAGTTCTTTTGTTTTGTTTATTGACATAAAAATTGTATCAATTTCCGTAATCAAATGACATTTGGTAGGCATCTCATTCAACCTTTATAACACTTTATGACGATTCATCTTTATTTCATGAGATTGAAAAATATTTGAAATAAAAGAAAAGTTTTGGTCTGATCTGAAATTCTACTTTTGCGATTTTTTGTTTATTTCATAATCGTTCTAAATTATTCTTCAAGTTATTGTAGTGGTATGCAGGTAACTGCCAGATTTGAACCTAAACAGATGATTCCAATAATCCATAAAGCTGTCTGATAATCAGTTCCGAGAAATCGAAAAGCTAAGCTGAATAAAATTCCGCCAACGTTGCCAGATGCTCCAGTGACACCTGAAACAATGCCAGTAAACTTTGGATGAATAGCAGGAACCAAAGAAAAAATGGCTCCATTTGCTGCCTCCATGAAAATCGCTAGACCTGTCATGAGTACAATCAAATAATAAATCTTGAACTTTGCGAATCCGATCCACATAAAGAAGACACCTTGTACAACTCCAAGAAAGATTAGCCACCATTTCTTTGCAGTAAGTCCTTTATGTTGATAGAGTACATCAGATATATATCCTCCCAAAGGTCTAGTAACAATATTCAGGAGTCCAAATATAGCAGCCCAACTTCCAGCTGTTTGGGAATTCCAAACAATACCATCTTGAATTTTAGTTGTTTGAATATAAAAATCAGAAATAATTCCTTCGACAGAAAGTTCAGAACCAAATGAACACAAATAAGGAAGTGCAACTAATAGAGTGCGCGATGAAAAGACGATTTTCAATACATCTACAGCTGATGGTGCTCGAAGAAATTCGTCATTAACCGCAACAGTTCGACTACTAGTCGATTGATTAGGTGCCTCTGATATGTCAGTCATTGCTGCAGTTTGTGGACCAGAGATAAATTTCATGTCTTCATTTTTTAAGTGAGAAGATGCTTCAGTCATTCCAATGCCTTCGTCATTATTCATACGAAACTCAGCTTCATCAAGAATTTGAGTACAATCGGTTTTAGGATCTTGGTGAAAATTTCGACTGCTCCACGGTCCATTTGGAGTATCGTGTCCAAAGAAAAGAGTAATGGTAGCAACACAAATAATGATGACTAGGGGACACATTGGAAAAGCAATACGCCATGCCCAATATTGACTTATGCCATTATTGTTCATGAGCGAAGATACAACTGCTGGCATGAGAAAAAATGTAACACCACCTCCGGCATTGCCCCATCCTGCAGTTAAAGCATTTGCTAGTCCAATAATATTTTTGTCGAAGAATTGACTTGTCCAGACTTGACATGGAACAAAAGTTCCTCCTAGAATACCGACAAAGAATCGTATTGCAATTAATTCGGAAGCATTGGTAACAAATGGTGTTAAAGCAGTTGGAATGGCCCCACCGAGAAGACAACCAATCATGACATACC